CTTTGCCACGTCACCAAGGGAGCGAAATCAGACGCGCTCGTTTTCTCAGACGCTTGCAGAAAAAGGCTTCCTTCCCAAAACTTACTGGGTTAATCTTTTTCACGTTTCCTTGGTTGGTAGATGCACCGGGGGCCTGATTATAGCACTTAAAACCTGGAAAAGTCAGATTTTCATGATATGTCACCTTTAATATATTCATTTTTAAAATATCTATCTTTCCATGCATGTCTTAGGCCTTTCTTGTTTACCTTGAAGGCCTGTATTGGAACAATAGCAATTTTGTTGTTCAGTTTTTGTGCTGAATCACATCACCCAGATCAGTTCAGATCTTCGTGGATCACATGACACTGTATCCCATCATATCCTGTGAGAGTCTCTCTGTGTGTGTGTCCGTCAGCTGAAGTCAGAGAATGAGCTGGATGTTTTGAGCGTCCTCCCGAAAGGATGGCAGCCCGACTCTTCTTCCTCGTCCTGCCCGTGTCTGCTGGTTCCCTCCACGCGCGTGACCTTCCTGGCGCGCAGGTACCGCTTCATCATCGAGCTGGACCTGAGCCCGTCCACCGGGATCGTGGTACGAGACCATCATCATCATCACATTCAGTCAACTCAGAAGGTGTTGTTTTCAATGAAAGTAACTCAGTGTTTTCCTTCAGGATGACAGCACAGGAGAGATGATCTTTGATGAAGTCTTCCACGCTCTGTCTCGGTGCTTGATTGGTCTGGCAAAACCCTTTAAAGTCCCAGGAACTGATCACATGTTCCAGCCAGAGATCTTCATCACTATTCTGGCGTATTCCTCCATCATTGGCCTTAGTTCTCATCAGGTCTGGATCTCAGGTCTTTGTGAATCTCACTGTGCATTAGTTGGGCGTTTTTTTTTCTGATCAGTGATATATCCCATGATTCTGCCCGTCAGGTGTTAGTTCAGGGCTGTCAGCTGGACTGTATGGATTTGGAGCAGTTCTTGCATCAGATCTATCAGCAGCTGAGAGCCGTGGAGAGCAGCATCGCGGACGTCCTACAGCAGCAGCACAATCAGGCAAGAGCAGCTCGCTTGTGCACGCTTTTCATACGGACAATAAATCAATGCACAGAAAGAAGCCACATTGCTTTGCAGTGTTAGATCTTCACAGGTGCGGAACCTAGGTGTTCTTGTCGACCAGCATTTCAAATTTGATAAACATATCTCCTCCGTTATCGGATCCAGTTTTTATCAACTTCGTCTACTGTCTAAAATCAAAGACTTTCTCACTCCAAAAACTCTAGAAATGGCTGTTCATGCGTTTGTTACATCTCGACTAGATTACTGCAATTCCTTATATTGCGGTATATCTAAATCTCAAATTGCGCGCCTTCAGCTAGTCCAAAACGCTGCGGCCAGACTTCTTCTGAAGTGTCGCAAACATGAACACATTACTCCAATTCTCAGATCTCTACACTGGTTGCCGGTTCATCAGAGAATAGACTTCAAAATTCTACTCTTTGTTTTTAAATCGTTACATAACCTAGCTCCTGTCTACCTCTCTGAACTTCTTCATTTATACACTCCATCTAGAAGCCTAAGATCTTGCGACCAGGCTTTGTTGGTAGTTCCACATGTTAGACTGAAGCGTAGAGGGGAGCGTGCATTTGCGGTGGCAGGGCCACGGCTTTGGAATACCCTGCCTTTAGAAATTAGAATGGCCCCTTCTCTGCCTGTCTTGAAGTCCCTGCTTAAAAACCTATCTGTTTTCCTTAGTGTATTGATTACTGTTATTCGGTAATTTTTTAATGGGTTGTTCATATTTTTTATTTGGCTTGCTTTCTGTGTATGTTTTTATAAATTTCTCTTCTGTAAAGCACTTTGGTCAGCCTAGCGGCTGCTGTAAATGTGCTATACAAATAAAATGAACTTGAACTTGAACTATTCATTTAGAAAATCCTCTTACACCATGTAATGTCTCTAGCCCAATAAATTATTGTCATTAATCTCATATTAGGCAAAACATTTCTCTATGTTCCTTTTTTAGAGAACTGCTCTCAAGAATGTAATTAGGCATTTAATTGGAGGGCAGTTTAAATAATTTCTCCACAAATAAACAAGTTCACATACACTCAAAACACACATACACATTTCAAAGTCATTATTTAATATGTAAGCGTATGTAAATACCAGTCGCTCGCTACTGAAAGGCAATTTGGTTTAAATGTAATGCCAGTTTGTCACTTTTTTTCTCCACTATACACCAGCTTCTCCTCCATTTGTCTTTTAGAGAACGCTGACTAAGCAGCAGTTGTTGGTGCAGTCTCTGGATGCTCTGTGAGCAGACAGATCAATAGACCTAGATTCAGTACAACCTGCAAATAGTCATGTGGAGTGGCCTCCCATTTGGGTTTCATAGAACTGCTTGTTGGTGGGGGAAAATCAATCGGTTAAGTTCCTTGGAAAATGTACAGAAGATTGATTAACCATGTAGAGAATGG